TGCATTCACAATAAGTGGTGGGCTGAGCATGGGATTGAGATTTTGAGATATGAGTTCCAGTTTTTGCTCTGTCTACATTTTGCTGTGTGGTTACCAAGAGACACTTAACTTCTCTGAACTTTGGTGCTTTCATCCACAAATGAGGAGCAGAATCTGTGTGTGTGTGTGTTTGTGTGTGCACACACATTGTGTATGTGTGAAAGAGAGACAGAGACAGACAGACAGACAGACAGACAGGAAAGGAAAGAGATCTCATCCAGACTTGCATCCTAACTTTCTCTGGCTACTAGAAAGAACACAGGAAACTTTTCTGTGATTTAATAGAATGCAGGATGGGGTATCACTGATCCTTTATTTATCAAATTCAAGGGTATAGTCTAACCTTACTTCTCTGAATTCACTACTGGCCATCTTCTTAGAGTCCTCTTCCCTCTTCTCCAGAGACAATTCTCTCAGTGTTGACTTCCTGACTCTTTTTTCTGCTCCTTTCAATCCTGGACTCTTCTTTCATCAACGCTTTAAGTGCTAAGAGTGCCAAAGGCCAGTATGAAGTTCAAAGCCAAGGTAATGATGAGAAACCAGCAACAAGCCTGAAAAATAGCAACTTGCATGTCCTAGAAAACAACTGAAGAATGTGTCATAGTGTGTCAGATGCTGCTGATATGTTAAGTAAGATGCGCACCGAGAATTGACCACAGGATTTAGAGAGGCATGGAAGTCACTGGTAACCTTAACAAAAAACAGTTTCAGTGGAGTAGCTGTAAGAGAGAACAGTAGAAATAAAACTGGGAGCAAATATAAACTCTTTCAGGAGTTTTTGCTACTAACAGAGAGAAGGAAAATAGGCAGTAGCAGAAGGGATAAGTGGAATCAAGAAATAGCTTTTTTATTTTAAAGATGTAAAACAAATAGCATTTTTCTTATGCTAATAGTAATGACCCAGAAGACAGGAAAACTGATGGTACAGAACAGAGAAGGACAAATTGCTAGGACAGTAGTCCTTAGATATGCAAGAAGGTTGGACTCTCGTGGAGGCAAAGGCCTCACATGGAAGCAAAGTCAGTTCATGCACATTAATGGGTACCAAGAAAAAGAATATACACCCAGAAGCATGTGGATGGGCCGACACGGTGATAGCAACACATAGAAATTCTCTGCCATTGCTGCTATTTTCTCAGTCATAATCTGAGGGCAAAGATAGAATATTTGGTATCAGAAGTCTACAAAGCAAGAAAAATGAATGATTAGTTATCTAGTAGATGGGAAATGTGGTCTGCTTACCAGGCAGCTCAGGAGGACCATGTGCATTTAGAGTAGACTAACAAGTACAGCTGGAGGTTTTTCTCCTGATCAAATTAAGGAAAAGGGCAAAAAAATTGAGAGAATATGCAAGATAGCAAGGATAATGATCAAAAATGGAGGATGAGCTCAAGAAGGAAGGAGGAAAATTGGGACAAGAAAAAAATCAAAGTAAGGAGTTGGCCCCACCAATGGATGGTAGATTCCTATGAGGCCCAAAGACTGAGTCAGAATGATACAGAGAATAATAAATGAACCTCTTTACTTATATTGTGTTGCTCCTTTGGCAGGGTACTTCTGTATTTTAATGTGCTGATTAAGAAAGGAGAGAGAGGAAGAATGTACTTTATATTCAGGTGGCAATAAATGTGCTAGGTTATATAACAATGGGAGTGGGAAAATTAATATGATGAAGTAGTCTTTACTGGGGTGGGTGGGGGGCTATCACATACCAGCACTATGCTAGGCATTTTGCATGTGTTTCCTTTATTTGCATTTCCTTTATTTGCATTATTTCCTTTAGTCACTATACAATGCCTATAGAGGTGATACGTAAATATAATCGTAATATTAAAGAACCTAAGTTCAGGGTCATTATACTTATACAGGTCACAGAGCTGGTAAGTGGCTATCAAGACTCAAATACATGTATGTACCCCTCCAGTGTTTAAAAGCTTTTCCATCCCCAAATATTTAATACATATAATGATAGTTTCGTTTTTTTAAGAGATATTTATTTATTTGTTTATTTATTTACTTAGAGTATGAGCAGGGGGAGAAGCACAGAGAGAGGGTAGAGAAAGACTCCCAAACAGACTCCCTGCTGAGTCAGAGTCTGAAAGGGCTTGATCTCACAACCCTGAGATCATGACCTGAGTCAAAACCAAGAGTTGGACTCTTAACCAAGTGAGCCACCCTGGCGCCCCAAATACATGTAATGATAGTTTCAAGTGATATTCTTTCTTGCAACGATTTTTCTGGTCTTTGAGAAAGACAAGGCAGTGAGGAGTGAGAAGGGCAATAGGTAACAGTAGTTGCCACGAAGCCGTATTACTGAAGTCCTATGTGACCGACATGCTCTGAATCTTAACTGTTAACAACTTTAGAAATCCTCATATTTTTTTGCTGAAATACAGCTGTTTCCCTTCTCTGACTAATATCCATTATAGTATACACTATTATAGCATATTATATTAATAATTTAATTATATCTTCTACTTTGTTTTTACTCTTTTTTTTTTTTTGCCATGACCAAACAATATTTGTATAGAGAGAAAGATAGAAGCATTCAAAAGTTCTTTTTTTTTTTTTTTTAATCATCTTTGTTATGTTGCCTTTGGAATTACTATTTTTCAACATCTCAACAAAATAATACTCTTTTAAGACTGCAGGCATTAGAATGATTGTCATTCATGCAAATAATCACTTACTTACACTATATGAGTTTGGGTTGGATAAAGCAAATTACCATTTGAAAATAATTCAAATAACACTCTGGGCTAAGACCTTGCTTATGAATGTTATCTTGGCCACAATATTCCTTAACCTTTTTCCATTTAGCTAGATTTATTTATGGTAATATAGTCCAAATTAATAAACTATTCAATTGCCACAGGTGTATTAAAACATATGATGTTGTAGGAATATATCAGATGCAAATGAATTTTAAAACATATTATGTATTTGGAATTCTATAGTGGTAATAATTAAGATGTAGTATAACCACCTACTAAATTAAAGATGTACATTTTGAGTGTACATTATATTGAAACCTTAAAAAATGTCAAAAAAATAAAGGTCATATTTTAAAAATATGGCCTAAAATATAAACTATGTTTTAACTAATCATAGGTCTAAAGTGTAACAATTGTATTTTCCAGAAGTTGAAATTCTCTCATCTCACATATTATATATATATAAATACACATTATAGGGGTGCCTGGGTGGCTCAGTCGTTAAGCACCTGTCTCTGACTCAGGTCATGATCCCGGGGTCCTGGGATTAAGACCCACATGGGGCTCCCTGCTCGGCAGGAAACCTGCTTCTCCCTCTCCCACTCCCCCTGCTTGTGTTCCCTCTCTCACTGTGTCTCTCTCTGTCAAATAAATAAATAAAATCTTATACATACATACATACATACATACATATATACATACACATTATATATGCATATACATATGCATCTATAACTGAAAATCAATTTTGATTTTTTTTCGCTTAGCCTGACAGTTGTCAAAACTCCAAATAAATGATTAAGTATTTTTACCAAATGACCTACAGCAATAGGAACCTTGAACAGTAAACAGAAAATTGAATAAAGAATCATGGAGTCTAAACGTTAATCCAGTCTATGACAATCAGTAGTGTGAGTACAAGCCAGTCTCTGCTTCCTTGGGCCTCTGCTTTCTGAACTCCATAAAGTAAGACTTGGGCAAGGTTGTCTAACTTAAATTTTATGACTCACAAACTTGATTTGGGATTAGGCAGATTTTTCTTCAATGAAATATTAACTAGTAAACACTCAAATAAATCAGCATTAAGAGTGCTGATGATGACTACTGATTCCACAGCAAAATCTAGGTGAACTCAGTAAATTTAGAATACAGAGAGTAATGCTGACCTCCTGCATAACATGCATAGACATTAAATTGTTTCCTGCCTTCCTTTCAGCAATGCGGAAGAAACAGCTGTCCCTGAACCCTTTTTAAGGACATATTCAGTTGCAAACAGCAGCATCCCTGGCTAGTATGAGTCCCACTGAAGTAAACTTTCTGTTCACATGGGAGAAATATTCCTACTGGTAATAAAAACCATTTTGCTAGGTTTAATCAGAAGTGAAAAGGAATTTGAGAATGTTCCCTTTGAGCCACATCATCCACTGCTAATTCAGGGTGGGCCCAGCAACAAGGGTAATAAAAAATGTCCTTAGTAACAGAGAAAGAGAAATGGCAATTAAGTGCATTTGTAACCTAATATAGAAGACCTAACTCTTTATTAAGATAATACAAATAACTGGGGCACCTGGGTGGCTCAGTAGGTTAAAGCCTCTGCCTTTGGCTCAGGTCATGATCCCAGGGTCCTAGGATTGAGCCCCGGATTGGGCTCTCTGCTTGGCAGGGAGCCTGCTTCCCTTCCTCTCTCTCTGCCTGCCTCTCTGCCTACTTGTGACCTCTGTCAAATAAATAAATAAAATGTTTAAAAAAATAATAATAATATAAATAATAAAAAAAGAAAAGGAAGAAGGAAAAAAATAGAAGAAAATAGCACAGGAAATGTAAGTAACCCAAGCAGTGCAATTACCATTGATTTACTTAGAACAGTTGCTATATACATATAAACCCATGGGCATAAGCTGAATGCAAAGGGTGAGAAATATGCTTGACAATGACTTCTGTAACAAAACAACAGAGAAAGAAACAAAACAGTAAGTGTCAAAAAAGCCAAAGCAGCTTGCTTGAGGAAACCAGTAAGTATCAGAGAAGAAAAGATGAACTCGATATCAGAACTAACCATTCAGGGATCGTCAGGACACATGATTATTTAAAATGTTTGTAAATCACAGCATGGTGAAATAGAACTCGATTCTCTAATTAACCATGCTTGTGCTGAAAAGTTAAAATTGGCAAGAACACCACAAATTTCTATACATTTGGGAAATAATTTATGACACAATATTGAAAAACGGAGTCAAACACACTGACCTGCTCACATCAGGAAACCTGATGGGAAAGTAAATAACTTGGCACTTGGGCCTGATGATGCTTTCCAGATCCTTGGGTCTGTGATCAGGAATCAGTTTCATAAATTTTCCGATAGAGGTGAGAAATGACTCCATATTAAAAACTGAGTTGAACACCACCACATCAGCCACCAGGCTGGAAAGGAAAGGGATAAATGCAAATGATGAACCCACACTCATTCACAGTTAGTTTTTATAAGCTCAAGACCTCTGTGTTAATCAGAGTTTATACTGTACTTGGGTTTGCAAAGAACTCTGCATTTCCCATCAGTATTTACTAAATGGCCTCTAATAGATAAGTTCGTTTCATTCCCATTGTATCACGGTAAGTTAGAGTGCTGGCATCAGGGAGGAAAGGCAAGGGAGGAATTAAATGATGTACTGGGATCTTATGAGGCATCAAACAATGTTTATTTTTCTGCAGTGTCAGGACTTTCTGCATTATTGGCAATACTAAGTACAGCAGGACCTTCTTTTCTGTGGCCCACATACCCATGTTGGATTTTTATGTCAGTGATATACACCATTTTATATCATACTGCTGACAAGAGGACATCTACCGTACTTTTCAGTACCTTCAGGGAGACTAGTTCAGATAAAGCTATTTCACACAAAAGCATACCTTTAAACATGTTGTAAAAGTTGATTTCTTGTTTAACCTTTGCTTCAAGAAACCACTAGATTTTTTTAAAGTTCTGGAATTCTACAGGAAGGATTATATGGGATCTCTATAAATAACTTATTTTACCAGTATGTTATATTTGGGGTCATCAAAGGAGAAGAAGGACCACAATACCATGGACCTTCAGAATTAAATGAAATAAATATAATACTATCTATTACTTTTAATGGAAAGACTGTATTCCTCCCTTTAATATTTTTAAAATACAAGTAATCTAAAACACATTGTTATAAGGAAATGTGATGAACAAATTCTAGGTGTCATACATATGTCCACAGTGTTCAGAACTGCCTCTAACATTTTCTTGAAGACCAATGAACACAAATGATAACTAAGGGCAACCTGGACAAAACTGAATATATAGTATGTTCCCTTCATGGGTCAAAAAACTGATTTAATAAATAATTGGTTTGATTTTTTAAAATGGCCCTCTTTGTTTAAGCAATGATTCAGTGCCTCAGTGTCACTGGATCTCACTAAAACGCACACAGATGTTTTAGTGAGAAGGTATAGAAGCTCAAATAGCAGCTAGTTTTATTTCACCTTAAAATTGATAAATCAAGGAAATGGAAAAGACATATAAGTCTGTAAGATGGCAAAACACAAATGAAAAGGTAGAGCTTATAGAACAGGAATACCATAGCAAATGCTCCGTTTACTGAGGACAGCCAAAGTTCCTGTTATTAATACACAGCAGAAGGAAAAGCCTACAAAAGGAACGTTGAACTGCCACCTTTATGCCTCCCCTGCAAAACCGCTTTTCACTATATAAGTTTTTTTTGTTTGGTTTTTTTTTTTTGGTTGCAACCTAGTGAAAATTTGGGAGTAGGGGTGATAACAGCACCGATAATACAAAAGAATGTCACAGAAGTGCTGACACATCAGCAAGCAATAAGGAAGCCAATATAATAATAGACCAAAAGTTGAAGGATGTTTTACAGCTAGTCTGTTTTCACCATATGTCACATATTGTAATAGCGACCCACAGGTCATAATATACAGTTACAACATGTGTTCATAAGTCAGAGGGTTAACGAAACCTCTATTTAAGGTGAGTGCTTAAGTCAGTCATCTCTGAGGTCCTTAACTGTCACTCGGTCAAGAAAGAAATCCGACAGTGCCAACAAAAGCAGAAGTCAGCAAGAAACCTAAAGAAACATTTGAGGAAGCAAGACTCATACTTTTCAAAGAGAATGTGAAACGGGACTGCTTTCTGACACTCTTATTTTTCCTCTGGACAACGGCAAACTATTTTTTTCTCGTAAAGAGTCCAAACAATGATCGAGTCTACTTCTTCCTTTCTGAGCTTGTCGATCAGTTTACCCTCTTGAGAAGAGCAAGGACGGAAAATCATGTACAGGCTTTTGTAGTCTCATTCCTTTTGAGAAAAAACAATCTTTTATAAAATAGAGAAATGAGGGGCAATGAGCTAAAATTTTTTTAGATATCTGCCCTCATAGGGCATGAAACCCAACTTACACTCTTAAAAACCCATTCTATGCTAAATTAAAGATCCAAGACAGTCTACAGAAATATTCTTTTCATGCATTTCCTCTCTGATATGAGTGGGTATAACTTCCATTAACTTTAAAGCCACCCATAAAGGGAAAAATAGACTGAATTTTTTTCTCCAGTTATTTCTCAGGGGTAATAAACACACACTATCAGAGGAAAAGAATGATGCTAATTTAAGAAATCAAAAGAATATTACAAATGTTTTCCATATTGATAAAAGCACAAAATGATTTTATTTTTGTTTTTAAAACATATTTGCCTTCTCTGTTTCAATATAAAATAAAGTATTTTAATTTTATTATGAAATTTTAAAATGGTTGTGTTTTTATGAGACATTTGACGTGAAGCAGTTCCACTCTATTTTGATAGCGCTGCTACTTCACAACTGAAGCAGCTTGTAAAAATGATGGCAGGAAAACATTTAAGAAATGCTCAAAACACAGAAATATCACCATAGAGCTGTTTTTCTATGTCAACTAAACTATGGAATATGCTTGTAAAAGTTGGGAGCACATCATCAATCCCAATTGCTAATAACTATTTAAAAAAGGTGAGTAGGATGTACCCAATCATGGCCAACCTGATTCTATTTGTTGTAGTTCTGTGAGTAGGATCCAATCGCAAAGCCGTTTCAGAGTTGTTATTAACTTCTTTCATTAACTAAGCTTCAAGAGATACACTTTGTTGAAGTAACAACAGAGAAGGACCATCACCTTTGAAATGTCATGGTATTTTAAGGCTGTGCAGTTTCAGAAGACTCAATGAGGGGAAAAAAACCCCAACCACCTAAAGATTCATTTTCCATAGTTTTCTCTTATAGAAATAATAAGAAAAAAGGATTAAAACTCCTTGCTCTATTATGCTTTAATTTTTAATTTCTTCCTGTGTAAATTTCTATCTTGATTTCAGCTGGGTATATTGAAAGTGGTTGGTAAATGACAATACCCTAACTGGCTCTTTTCTAAAAGTATCACCTAAACAATACGTGATGGAATCAAGGGGTGAAAAGGAGGTCTCTTGTCAACATTTTTATTCTATTTTGAATGTTGTAGAAAATAGATAACTAATTCAACATATAACTAGACTATTACATTTGTATATTTTATAAAAGGATTATATATATATATATATACATATATATATAAAAGTATATCAAAGGCACAAGCAATTACTACCACAGAAGATACACTTAAACATGCACACCTACTTTAATGAGTTTTTAAAATAAGTGTACAGTTACAGTAGGTCTCAAAATTTAAAAGCTAACTATAAAGAAAACAGGGGCAAAGGACTAAATATAATGACACAATCTATACCTACCATGAGAGAATTTGGTTGTATCCATATTGGAAATCCCTCTCCTGACATTTCTTGACAGGATATACCAACTGGTTCTCATGGAAGTACAGAATCTTTTTTAATTTCCCAAGGTCAGGCCGAAGGGCAGCCAATTCAGTCAGGTTCAGCACTGAGCTTGCAAAGAGGATCCTAGGAAACAAGGAAATTAAAGTTTACTGTCCCAAACATGCTTAAAGCAGTCATCCTTCACCTTTCTCCCCTTTTCCCTCTTCCTAACCCAAGAAAAACATATCCCCTACAAGGACACATCAATAGTTAAGCCTTAATACCATGTAGCAGCATTCTAAGTTTTCATCTCTTAAAAAGCAGCTGCTAAGAACTATAAAAGCCCTGAATCTCATTGGTCTTCTCTGCTCAGTTACTGAGAGATGCAAAGAAAGAAAGAAGGAAGGAAGGAAGGAAGGAAGGAAGGAAGGAAAGAAAGAAAGAAAGAAAGAAAGAAAGAAAGAAAGAAAGAAAGAA